TTACCTGCAGAAATTCTCTCACAAATAACCTGCAATAACTTGAAATGCATACCCTTTTGAACACTTCCTTTTCTCATGTATAAATGAAAATGTTTGCTGCATTTTGCAAAATGTCAGTTCTCCAGAAATGTGTCCGTATATTTCTGTACCTGCAGTGTAGTAAAGGTTTAGATGAAACCCCGTACTATAGTGGCATACTGTCACTTAGGGTTCAAGCAGCAAATAAACAGTGCAGCTCAGAAATTGTAGTTTGGTTCTTGATGTGTTTTTATTACATTTGCGGTTTTGTTTTTTTAGTATCTTAGAAATTTCAAATTATTTTATCTTCATTTAATGATTAAAAACCTTGAAAGCAAGTTATTTGTTTTCAGGATTTTTAAAGTAGTCAGTTGGTTAGAATTACTTTCTGTCAAAACACTTTGACAGCGATGCTTTAAAGGAATAAAATTCTTTTTTGAAAAAGAATGGTATTCCTTTTTAAAAGAATAGTTTTTACTCTCAATGTCACTTTAAACAAATATGCCAGAATTTAGACAGCTGAGTGAATGTTACTCTGCTTAGTGACAGGGCTGGAAGGCTGTTTTCCAGTGCCAGGGATGTACCATTGCCCCAGACCTCCTAGGTCTGCTCTTCAGAATTGCATTCGAAGTTAACTTAAGAAACACACACTACTAACTTTTTGATTATACATTGTTTTCTTAAAAACAGCGTTGCCAAGTCTGTTTTTAGTTACCATTATTTAGCGCCATTGACAGTGTCCAAAACTTAATTTTGAGGCTGTGCAGAAGTGCATGCCTGGCTTTGAGGGCAGCCCCGAAAGAGCGTGAAGGCGTTTTGTGCAGGGTGGCGCAGCTGAGAGTGGACCGCGGCCTCAGGCCGCAGCCGTCTCCAGGGAACTCAGCTCATCTGAATGTACTGTGTTGCGGTGTATTTCATTTTAAAACAAATCTGTATTATTTTCTAGCATCAAAGGCAGAGCTAAGGTTAGCGTAATTTCTTTGGTTTTTCTATTGCTTGCTAAAGTGAGTGGCGGTTCAGAAGGAGGACTGTTGTACCTGAAGATGCCACCAAGGATTTTTGATCATTAAATCAGATTTTATAAACAGTGGAAGGAACATGGACTTAAAACAAGGCATGCTTATTCGGTTTTGTCAAAATTTTACAAAAATATGTGATATATATTTATACTAAAGCTATATAATCCTTAGATTCAGGAAAGCAGTTCACGTCTTCAGCAGATTTAGCAGTATTAAATACAAGTTTAGGTTGGAAATTGTAGAAAACGGAAAACGAAAGACAAAATGTCTATGATAGGGAATAAAAATTTTGAGATAATATAAAATCGTGTATTTTACATCATTTGTGAAAAGTGTGCTAAAATTTTTTTTTACAGGAGTGATTAATTAGGATTTATTTTTCAATATAATTTGGAGACCCTTTGTTACCCGAATAAAAGTGCCCATACCTGTGCCTGTATTCAGATATGTATGCATTGGTAACCCTGGAAGGCTAACGCCCTATTTAACGGTGAATTTTGTGGAGTCAGAGTGCAAAGGATCTGGATAACACACCTTAACCTTTCTACTCTCCAGCTCTTATGATGTCTCCTGCGGACAGTAGTGCCCCTTGCGGATCGTAGAGAGAAAGCACGAGCTGTTGTCTTGTTCAGCTGGGCGGCTCATAGCCAAAATTCTCTCCTAACCTTTAACTTCATGGAGTTGTTTAGGTATTGCACAGCCTGTACTTAGCAGTCTAGATTTTTCTACATCCTTTGACACATTTCCTCTGGAATGTCTTTTTGTATTTTAATGTATCTTTTTTTTTTTTTTTTTTTTTTTTTCGGAACCAGGGGTTGAACTCAGGCCCTTGCACTTGCCAGGGAAGCGCTTATTCTACTGAGCCATCTCCCTGACCCCTGTAATTTAAATATATATTAGCAGTCTAACTTAAATTAAGCTTTTTTCTTTTCAACACTTCTGTGTTTTGTGTATCAGATATTGGAAACTGCTTTTGAAAATACCACTGGGTTTAAGGGAAGTAAACATTTGATCGGCAGTGGAAAGAGCACGCCTAGGAGCACTTGGTGGCTGATTCCTTCCCTCTTCTGTGAAAGCTACATGAGTAGTTCACACCATTTTGCACTGTTGATGTCATTTTTCTTTTTTTTTCCTAAACCAGGTTAAACTTCTTCCACAGTAGTCCTTGGCTGCTGCCCGTAGATGCCACCTACACAAGCTGGATTTTTGTTACTTGTTCTTACTCTTTACATTAAAGTTTTTGATTTGGAAATTCCTCCTTATCCACATCTTAGTGGAACATAACTGATTATCCTTTTTAAGGTAATATAAGTATAGTATTTTTTTAAAAAGTATTGCTTTCATTCCCGAGTCCTTCCTGAGTACAGGCTGATTGGTGATGGTGTCTTTCAAGACATTGGACCTCCTCTTACAGTGCAGTGGAGCCTGCTGCAGATAGGCCGTCCTTTGTTTCTCACCTAATGTGAGATGCATGGTCAGGCCTGGTGGTGCACACGCGTGATCCCAGAACTCCTGAGGCTGAGGCAGGAGGATCACTGCAAGACGGAGGTCAGCTGTACTCCATTCTGTTTTCTGAAAAAACAGAAAAAAATACAAGTTTGTCACACACTAAACACAATCTGTATTTAGATTTAAAATATCCACAGTGGTAGAAATTTTCTTTCAAATCAGTAGTCCCAATATTTCAATAGACCCAGGTAAGTTCGTGTTTCTTGGGAGGCAGAGGTGTCAGTGCATGAAACAGGCTATGTGGAGACAGACCTCAGTAGACTAGCCCACGAGCCAGAAAGGTGCTTGCCTGGAGGATTCCTCTTGCCTCATCTTTTTGTTGTTTTTTGCTACTGGGAATCCAACTCCGAGCAGGCACTGTGCCACTGAGCTACATCCCCAGCCCTCCTCTTGCCTCTCAAGAAGTTGGGAAGTGTTCTAAAGCTTTCTCCACCAAGGCTTTTGAAAATAATAGCTCTTTGTAGACCCTTTTTAAAAATAAACTTGAAGTTTTTTCATTAGATTCAGATCTTTAAAGTGAGACTTGGCCATATAAGACAAATTCACAGCTTTGATTCTTTACATGGACTTTTAACTCTGAAAAATCTCTACCTTTGAAGAAGATAAAATTTTGAACTGGGATGTGTGACGGAAATTTACACGTAACTGCTACCACCATTCCGGTACAGAGAACAAGGATAGTTTCAGTTATTAGAATTTGAAGCTGGAACTATTTGCTCTTCACTTGTGTGACTAAAATTTAAATCACCCGGGGGCGGTGGGTACTTACTTCATTTTTATTTCAAGACACCAGCCCACATATTTTGAATACAATTTAAGTAGGATTTTGTAAGCCCTTCCTTACTATAGGCATAGAAAATCGATTCACCTGAAGATTTAAATTTTACTGTGTAACTTCTAGGTTGTATACCTCTAGTGATTTGGCTTAGTAGTTCCAAATGCTTATTTCTCTTTATTGGGTAAAATTTTTTTCTGTATTTTAGGAAGAGGTCTACAGGGTGATCAGGGCCTCACTACTAGATTGGACTCATAGTGATTCTCCTGTTTACAGCCTCCCAAGTGCTGGGGCTCCAGGCACGCGCAGGTCGGGATCGACCCCCCAGCCCCTGGGCATAACGCCTGTGCATGCTTACAGGTGCTTTAATCCACTGAGCTATTGGGCCAGCCCTTTATTGAGTAAGATTTTAAAAGATTGTATCTAGAATTTCAGAGAAAACACTAGTTTGAATGCCATTTGGGGGACTTACATTTTATAATACTAAGTACTAAAAAATTAAAATTAGACTTTGCTATCAGTAATTCTAAATAGCAAAATTAAAATTTAGTATCATTCACTTTTGAATCTTAAAGAGATTAAGATCTTGCTTATTTTGACTTTTGTAATGTCCCCAAAGGAGACAGTATGTGGTTCTCTAAAATTTGCCCTTTTACTGTCCAGTATCTTCTAAAAATCTGGGATAACTAAAAATCTGACATCATCAAATCTTACAGCATGAAGGGTAGATGCCAACTCTACCATAAATCCTGTGACAGGCAAGAAGAAATTATTTCCAAAATACATGATTTAGAACTGTTTCACAGTGACTAAATTATAAGCGTGGTTGGAAGTTCCCGCTGCAGTGGCTGGCCAGTGCTGTACCAGGCGGATGTGTGGGCAGTGCACAGTGTTGCAGAATACAAAATTCACACCCCTGTCCATCACAGTAAATTTTTTCCATTTTCTGTTCCCATCTCACTTGTTTATGTCTTGGGCAGGTTTCATAAGAACTTCCAGGGAAGCAATAATTTCTGTGTTGAGACAGTTTCTTGGGGAGAACTTTTCCAACTTAGAGGAATTCCTTTCTTCATTTAATTCTGAAGTAAGGTCTTTTTAAAATCAGTTTATAAACACTCTATGTTAATTTAGAGTAAAAGCATTGTTCTAATCATCCATGAAGTCAGTTTTTGGATGCTTACTAAATTTTCTCGTTGTTAAAATGTTCACGTGGTCCTTATTACGTAGGCCTTCCGATACCGTTCTGTGCATCTAAGTGACGCGGAAGGTGGTGGCGGTTTCCACAGAGGCCCTACCCTGTGGTGCGCCAAGGGCCTGCACACGGGACACCTGCGTTCTGCTGTGTGTGCCTTCTGATCTTGTCCCCGACCCTCTGGGCTAGCTTCGTGGGCCCGTGAGTCCTGTTAACCTCAGTCATGCAGGACTGAGAAAATGACAGGC